AAAACGTTCTATTATTTTTATGATGACTCGTTTATTTCAGCCCTTTGTATTCAGCATGTCACTATCGAAATAAACCTACGTTTCTATGAAAATTGAAGCTTTTGTTTTTTGCGGCCCACATACACTTAAGCCTTGTTTATTTGGCCCGTGTTAGCCTTTGAGTTTGACATGCTTGGCCTAAAGATTTTCCGGTTTGTCTCACAATGTAAATGTCCAGGTGATAAGTAAACGGCGCCAGCAGAGGAGCACAGGGGCCAGCTGCCCTTGGTGGCCGCGTCTCCTCAGTGCCATCCCTTTGCTGCCCGCTCCTCTGCCAGCCAGGACGATAACATAAGGTCTCTCCCACTGGGCAGGGGTGTTCCGAGGACCACCTCTCCAGGGACCAAGGATTATTCCAATTACAGGCCTTTTGCATTTGAAGTTTGGCCACATCCACGCCTGATGCACAAGGCAGACACCACCAGTCCTGTAGCAAAGGGCTGGCTCATCCACAGGCCACCGATGGCACCAGACACAGGCTGCACAGGCATCAGCTGTCCTCACAGACCCTGAACACATCACTCCTAAGTGGACGCCACCCATAAGGGACAGGAGAGGCACAAAGACGGTGATGAAAAGGTCTGGAAGCGACCTACACCTTCACGTCTGCCGTCCCATTCATGCTTGACCCTCGCCCCCATAGGTGGGCTTGGCAGGAACTACTATGCCACGTGCCCCAGTGACACCCCTGGTCACCTGACTCCCAGGGGGCAGCGGTCATCTGAGTGGCAGTGCTGTTCCAGTCTTGGGGACACCCACTTCCTGCAAGCTCCCAGGCTGACCTTCTGACTGCCAGAACATCCACCCGAGGCCTGGCCTGCCACTCCCTGGGCCCACGCAGAGCTTCCACGGCCTCACCTGACCCTCGGTTATGAGGACAGGAACCCAGCCACACCACTCTCCACCCTCTGTGCATGTCTGACACTACGCATGCTCCACAAAGGTGGCTGGATAAGAACACCCACCGACAAACTGCGAGTAGCATGAAGTTGTTATGAAGGGATCTGGACAACATAAAGTAGGACATAAGCCAGGGGGCAGTGAAAATGCTCAACAAGCATGATCGCACGGGCACTGACCAATCATAATGGGCGGTGGCTGTGGGCGACCGGCTGAACGTCACGTGCGTGCTGGGGCCAGTGTTGGCTCGGAATGCCTGCTGTGGGGCTGGCGAGCTGGGCCCACTGGGCACCTGCTCTGAGCTTCACACTCCTCTGCTATAAAGGTCAGCAAATAAGCGTCACACTGCGTGCTGAGCGTTGTGACCTATGCCTGGGATACACATAGTCAGTCCCCAGTGTTTGCAGATTCTGTATGTGCCTCCTCACCAGCATCTATTTGTAACTCCAAAAGCAATACTTGTGGTGCTTCTGAGGCATCTGTGGCCTCACCCATGTGGCCAAACGGGTGAGCCAGTGACAGGTGAAGCAAAGCGATGCTCGGCTCTCACTGGGCACACGTGTGTTTATCACGGTCCTCAGGTCCCGGCGCAGCACTGCTGTGCTCCTGTAGGTGGTTTAAGCATTTAAAACGGCCCAAGCGCAGGGTTGGACGCGGCTACGCTGGCAGCACAGGAAGGCTGGTGCCTCCCAGGAGCAGTGCGTCCGCTGAGCCTCGGGGAGGCTGACTCAGCGCTGCTGCTGTGGGACAGTGTTCACGAATCAGCTGATATTACATGAGGGTCTTTACACAGAGGCACGGACCGGCCGAGGGAGAGCTGGGGGTCAGAGGGCACAGGGGCCTGGCCCGGTCTCCCGAGCGCAGCAGGGTCCTCACTAGTTGTCTGTGGAGACGACAGCCCCCCTCCAGCGGGGTTGGCTTTGGGCCTTAAAGGCTCAAGGGATTGCCCACGAACCACAGGAGTGATGCCGAAGCCTTGCCTTTCCCCCCCACCCACAGGGTTTCTGTGGAGCGACCACAAGCTCGCCTCACCCATCAGGAAGTGGACTCGGTACAAGTCGGACTTCTGCAGCAGGCGTCGCAGCTTCGCCTGGGTCTCCGTCACCTCGGCCCCCGAGCCACTGGTGCCGGGCGTCCGCTGCAGCACCGCGTCCAGGTAGAGGAGGGCCAAGCGTGTGTGGTACTCTTCCCTCTGCAGGAAACAGCCAAGCACACGCGACTTCGTGAGGGGGAGACTGGGTGCCCGGCCCGCAGTGCCAAGGGAACCTGGGGGATTCGCAAGGACAATGCCTAACACGCTGGCTGGTCAAAACCCTCTCAGAAACCACAAGGCAGAGAAGGCAAATTTGTGGTTTGCCTCGGTGGGTAGAGCCTCGGCCTGCAGACTGAAACGTCCCAGGTTCAGTTCCAGTCGGGGGCACAGGCCCGGGTTGCGGACTCCATCCCCAGTGGGTGACGTGCAGGAGGCAGCCGATCAGTGATTCTCTCTCATCATTGATATTTCTATCTCTCTCTCCCTCTCCCTTCCTCTCTGAAATCAATAAAAATAAATAAATAAATAAATAAATAAATAAATAAATAAATAAATAGCTTACAGGGAAACTATAAAAGGGCCACTTCTAATTTTGAGAAGTAAGGGCCACAGGATGTAGATATTCTCCAAAGAGGTACAGCTTCCCTCATTTCCTTTAAGAAAATCAACAAGGAAGGAGCAGAGAAGGAAAGTACGAGCAGGGTGGACATGAGATGAGGGTAAGAAGCTACTTACTCCTCCCGCCTCTCTCACAACTGCCAGCTCCTGCCGACCACCAGCAGCACAGCTGGGCAGCCAGGGCACAAAAAACGCTACCCGAGGACCACCTGCCACCAAGTCTTAGCGTAGAATCCCGTCGCTTAAGGTGGGATGCTGCCACCGGCACACCTGATCCACTTCGCAGGGCTCACCTGCAGGTTCCTGTCCATAACCAGGTGTTCCAGGTACCGCACGAGGGCGTTGGGGTATTTCTTAAGGCGAGTGAGCACATCGTCTGGATTGAAACCGTCCTGCTGCTCCTCCAAAGGCCTCTTGGTGAAAACCTGAACTCCAACCTGAGGGGAGAGCGTGCCTGAGTGCCTGCTGTGCACAGGCCCCTCTCACCGTGTCCCGAGCACCGCGGTCCGCGCTCTGGGTGAAGCCACAGGCTCCAGGAGCAGAGGCTGCTGGCCCGGCCCTCCTCACGGCCTGGCCATTCCCTTCAAAGGGCCAGAAGTTAAAGAACAAAACATTTACTGGAAACAACCCATAAACCAAAAACTTTGTGATATTAAGATCATCCCAAACCAGGACGGTCACTGGCTGACTAGGAAGTGGAAGGATCTGAAGTGCTGCCCACCCAGCGGCCCATTCTCCTGACGCTGACACCGCTTACGGAGCACCCAGGGTCCAGGCTGCCTCTGGCCTGTTTCCCAGGGCCCACAGTGCAATTCTGTGCTCTGAGGACGTGCTGACGGCATGCAGGGAAGCAAACCCAGCCTCACCTGCCCCAGGCACTGTGTGCACTCTTACGCACACGCTCGCAGGCCACAAAACCCATCAGCAGAACAGCGCAGCTCGGCTCTGCCAACTGCAGCGCCTCGGGGAAGTTCAGAGCTCTCGGAGCCCGGGCTCCCATCCTGAGGCGCCCACTGGGAGCCGTCTCCTCATTTAAAAGAGGTGACACATGTGAGGGACCGGTGTAGGGTCAGGGAGCACCGAAACCGAGCGCCGTGACCACCTCGTAGCAGCGGGAGAGTCCCCCTGCAGCGGCACCAGGCTGTCAGCGGCGTGAGCAGGTTGGCGCGTGGTGCTGCGTGTGCCGGCGCCGAGTACAGAGGGTGGGAAACGTACACGGAGCACACGGCCGACTCCAGTTACGACAGCACCAGGGAGGACACGGGCAACCCACATTTCAGAAGGGCACCTGTGGCCAAGACCCTGCATCAGAAAGCTACTGCTGTGTCTCCAGAGGGAGCGAGGCTGCGGTGTTCTCAGCGGCGAGAACTGAATGCTTCCCCAGGCGTTTTGGGCCTGTCCTCGGGATTCTGGCCCTGCCCCGAGCATGCTGTCCCCTCTGGGGCTCCAGTGCTCTCTCACTGACCACTGACATCCTTGATCAGCCTCTGAGATGGGCCAGTCCTGCTCACGGCTGCCCTCCTTCCTCCAGACCCACGACCCCGCATCACGGCCGTGGGAGCAGAGACAAGGCAGCGGTTCGCCTGGCGTGGCCCAGGCCGGGCACCCAGCCTGCAGAGCAGCCATTGGATCCTGTTCCCGTCCACGGACCACACAGCCGCCAGCCTCAGTTAGGTGGGGTTTTGCAGAAGATGCTAAGAATGGGGCTGGCTATGCTGCCGCGTCTCTAACGTGGCCCGCCCCAGACAGGGTGCTGAACGGCGCGTCTCCAAAAGCACTGAAACACTGGGATGCCAGGTGCGCGGGGGCTTGTAAAGGGGAGCAAAGGACGTGGACACAGCTCAAAGCTCAGCTTGCTTACCCACCGAATCAAGGCTTTGTCTGTTTTTGCCACCCCAGCCCCCCCTCCCCCCCGAATGCATTTACAAAGCACAAACCTCCTCACTTTTCTGCAAGGCCCAGTCGGCGTGCTTCCACACCAGCGCGTGGTCCGGGCTGTGGGTGAGGAAGTCCACCACGTAGTCGTACAGGTCTGTGCGCATGGGGTCGGCAATCTCCCCGTTCACGATGTTCACCCACAACTGGCAGGAGCAACGAGAAGAAACAAAAACTTACGTACCTGCTAGAAGCGGCTGACAAAGGGCACACGCTTACTTTTTTGGCCTTTTAATACTTAAAAGCAGGTGGACAAATTTTAAGTGCTTAAGTCAAATTTAACTTTTTCTCAGAGAAATAAAGAAATGTAGAAGACATGGCTCAGGAAATCAAGAAAACCTGTCCTATCCCCCCCTCTTTAGTGACGTCAGTGACACAAGTCACATACTCCCTGTGTGGGAGAGGTGGGTGTGTCCGGCAAGTTTCTGCACAAAAACAACGCGGTCACTGACAGCTCAGCGCTGAAGTCACCCAGGACCGCTGGCCAGGCTGTCTCCACCTTCTCCATTCCAGGAATTCCTCACCTAAAGTCTTTTTCCTACTGTGATAGACACTGTCCTTTCAAACGCTCTGATTCTGTCCCCTAGTGTCCGACAGCCTTTGCACAAGGCCTCGGGACAGGCTGTAATGAGAGGCCTCTGCCATTTCTTGAAGCTTGCCTTCGAGTCCAGCAGGGAGCCTCTCAGGGCAGAGGGGCCGCTGCGCTGCCCGAGGTGCCTCCGCGCCCTCTCCCGCGCCGCACTGCGGCCACGCCACCAGCCAGAAGCCCCAGAAACAGCAGGCAGCAGCAGCTGAGTCCGACAATGGGCGCGCCAACATTTATGGCACCAGTTTCTTCAACACTGAGCTCCCTACACCAAATAATCTGATCACACACACACTAAAATGTGTCACTTTAAAAACATAGTGGTTGTCTGTCATATAGTGAGATTTTTTTCATATTATTTCAATTTTGTAAATCTCTATATATACGTCTGCTAATATTATTACATGTATATCAAGCTATAATTCTTTTCTTAAACATATTTTATTGATTTTTTACAGAAAGGAAGGGAGAGGGATAGAAAGTTAGAAACATCGATGAGAGAGAAACATCGATCAGCTCCCTCTTGCACACACCCTATGTGCCCACAACCAAGGTACATGTCCTTGACCAGAATCGAACCTGGGACCCTTCAGTCCGTAGGCCGATGCTCTATCCACTGAGCCACACCAATTAGGGCAAACTATGATTCTTATGTAATTATGTGATGTAAAAAATAGAAATTTATCTTTGACACTCAAATCTACTCTCAGCCATGGGGTGCCTGCTGGCGGGAACCATTTTTCTCTCTCAGTCTGTTCTGCAATGATGTTGCCACAATAGTTTAAGCAAATGTGAGTGTGCCTTTGCCAAAGTCAGGAAGCTGCCTCAACTTGCTGAGTGGCGCTGGTGGTCATGGCTGCTCACAAAGCACAGAAAAGGCTCACGAGGAAGCTGTGACACAAAGCAACCCACAGGCCTGAGACCGGTGCAGCCTCTGTGGAAGACAGTATGGAGGGCCCTCAAAAAACTAAACATGGAGCTCCCATTTGACCCATGATCCCACTTCTAGGAATATACCCCAAGAAACCAGAAACACTAATCAGAACAGGTGCACCCCTCTGTTCATAGCAGCACAATTCACCATAGCTAAGATTTAAAAATAGCCTAAGTGCCCATCAGCAGACAAATGGATTAGAAAACTGTGGTACATCTACACGATTGAATACTATGCTGCTGTAAAAAGGAAGGAACTCCTACCATTTCCAACAGCATGGATGGAACTGGAGAGCATTATGCTAAGTGAAATAAGCCAGTCAGAGAAAGATAAATATCACATGATCTCACTCATATGTGGAATATAATGAACATTATAAACTGATAAACAAAAACAGATCCAGAGACATAGAAGCATTAAACAGCCATCAAACCTTAGAGCAGTGGTTCTCAACCTGTGGGTCGCGACCCCTTTGGCAGTCGAACGACCCTTACACAGGGGTCGCCTAAGACCATCCTGCATATCAGATATTTACATTACGATTCATAACAGTAGCAACATGACAGTTATGAAGTAGCAACGAAAATAGTAATTTTATGGTTGGGTCACAACATGAGGAACTGTATTTAAAGGGCCAGAAGGTTGAAAACCACTGCCTTAGAGGGAAGGCAGGGGGCAGAGGGTAAGAGACCAACCAAAGAACTTGCATGCATATAAGCATAACCAATGGACACAGATAATAGGAGGTGAAGGCCTGGGCTGGGGGGACAGGGGCAGGCTGGGAGAGGTCAATGGGGGGAAAAGGGGACATATGTAACACTTTCAACACTAAAAAATTTTTAAAAAATATATGGATTGTCTAACCACTATGCTGTACACCTGAAACTAATATAAAACAATATTAAATGTAAACTATAATTGAAAAAAAAACTTTAAATAAAAACCACAGCAATCCCAGTGGATGGCAACTACCACAGGGGAACGGTCT